ACACACACACACACACACACACTCATTGCATTTAATAAGTACATACGACAATGAGAATTTGAGAATTTGAACTATTTGAAGTTGAGCCGCACAGATCCTGGGGAGCTATGAGTAGCTGCGCCTATCCTACCATGTCTCTCTGTCGAGCTCTCTGTCTCTGACTAGCAGAAGTTATAAACAGTCATAACAGCCCAGCATAGCACCCCATGCTCTCCCTGGGCATGGAGGGGCAAGTTGATGCCTATTTTCACCCTTGGTGGACTCAGCACTGGTCAGTGGCCCTGGATTCACCCCATCTCTGTCTCTGATATAATGCCGTTCCTTCCTGTTTGCTTTCTCTTCCATGCCTGTGAGATGACCTGATTGGGGCTGGACTGAGGGTCAGATCAAGCTCTCTGGGTGCTTGGATAGGACTCTGTCTACATTGCTTCTGTCTGTGAAGCAAGGGCGATGCTGACTGTCCTGCCAATGTAGGGTCTTGTCCGAATGTCCAATTACACAGGGTCACTGGGTGTAAACCAGACATGGTGGTACATTCCTGGCCTCTAATCCCAGGACTCAGGAGGCTGAGGCCTGTTCAAAGCCAGCCTATGCTATATAGTGAGAAACATCTCGGAAAATTAGGGAGGCAGGGAAAAAGAAAAGGATGGAAAAGGTTAAGGAAAAGACAGAACAAAGGGGGAAGAAAAAAGAAGAAAGCAAGGAGAGAAGGAGTGAGGGGCAGCAGCGTCTGGAACACGTCAAGTTGTGGCATGCTACACCAATGTGTACTAGACCTTGGCTTTGTCTTTTGCAGTGATCTGCCTGAATGGAGGATCCTGGACAGGGGGGGTCTGCCGTTGCCCCAATGGCTTCTCGGGGGATCGCTGTCAGAATCATGTTCCAATTGTCAACTGTCAGAACGGAGGGACGTGGGACGGCCTCAAATGTCAGTGCACCAGCCTCTTCCAAGGACCACGGTGTGAGGAAGTGGTGGAGAGCTTTGAGACAGGTGAGTGAAAGTTCAGTCAACGACAGATGCAGGCCGGGCTCTCCCTCCGCAGGGCCCAGCATAGAAATCTCCCTCCAGCACCTGTCCTTGCCCTAACTCTGATAGCCCCGTAGTTTTTTTTAAAGATTTATTTATGTGTGTGAACACATGGGTGGGGCATGGGCATGTGTGTGTGTGTGCATATATGCATGTGCTGCATGTGTGGGCACCCACAGAGGGCAGAAGAAAGAGTTGGATCACCTAGAACTTGAGCTACAGTAATTATGACTGCCTGACTGGGCTGCTGGGAACTGAACTCCAGTCTCCCACAAAGGCGATGCACACTGTTGATCTCGGAACCATCACTCTCGCCACTCCATATTTTACATTCACTTGGTGATAAAAATGTTTTTAAAAACTCTAAATAAAAAAAGAAAAGAAAACCAGGCAGGCAAGATGGCTCTTGCCACCAAGCCTGAAGACAAGAGTTCAGTTTCTGGAACCTACACGGTGGAAAGAGAAAACTGGCTCCCACACGCTGTCCTCTGACCTCCACACATGCGCCCCCCCCTCCACATACAAATAAAAACTAAATATAAGACGATCAGAAGGAATCAAGGGCTGGAGAGACACCTCAGCTGGTAAAGTGCTTATCACAGGAGCAGGAAGAGCTGTTTGGTGCCCGGCACCCAATGAAAAAGCTGGGTGTGGCAGTGCGTACCCAAAATCCCAAATGGGGGGATGACAGAGAGCAATGGGCCCCTGGAGCTCACTGGCCAGCCAGCATACCCAAACTGGTGAGTTCCAGGTCCCTTGAGAGACCCTGTCTCAAAAAATAAGGTGGAAATCGACAAAGAGAGACACTTGATGTTCACCTCTGACCTTCATTGCGCAGGTGCACACGGCTCTCACATCTCCATAGGCACACAGACACATACACACACAGACACACACACACACATCACACACGGTACACATATAAGAATAAATACATGGGGGCTGGAGAGATGCCTCCGTGGTTAAGAGCACTAGTTGATCTTGCAAAGGACCCAGGTTCGGTTCCCAGCACCCACATGGCAGCTCACAGTCATCTGGATCTGATGCCCCCTTCTTGCCTGCAGGCATACATGCAGACATAACACTGTATACATAATAAATAATAAATCTTTGAAAAACCCAAGCTAATTAACTACACTGTGGTTGCAGAGGGGTGGTCCCCCATTTACCATGTTGGAGTCATAGTGTCTTACTCTGGACTGGAGGGTAGCTTGGTTGGTAAAAAGCTTGCCTTGACAAGCATGAGGGCCTGGATTTAATCCCTAAGACCTGTGTAGAAAAAAGAGGGGTGTGGTTGTGCATGTTTGTGATCCCAGTTATGGGGGAGGCAGAGCCGAGCAGATCCCTGGGGCTAGCTGATCAGCTTGTCCATTTCCCATCCAGTGAGAGACCCTATCCCCAAAAACAAAGACGATGGTGGCATAGTAGCAGCTGATGCCGTCCTCTGGCCTCAGTGCACAGCTGCAGGTGCACAGCTGCAGGTGCACAGCTGCAGGTGCGCAGCTGCAGGTGCACAGCCACCCACAGTCAGAATCTGCTTGACTTTACCACGTTGGAAAAGCAATAGCTGCTCTGTGGAAATCCTGCTTCAGATCTTGAACATGGGTCTTCTCCTGGGCTGGTAGCATGTGGGACTACCCTCTCTCGAAAGGCTGAGGGGTAGCTCCCACAGGCAGACACAAGGACACACAGAAAACCATCAGACTAGGTGTGATGAAAAATGAAAAGAAAAGGGGAAAAAATGATCATCTGACCTTTCACAGCGGGCTGTGTGGTTGAACAGATGTGTGCTGTAGGTTAGATGGATCAAATGCTATGCGCACGCACGTATGTGAGTGTGTGTGTGTGTGTGTGTGTGTGTGTGTGTGTGTTGCTGGTGGCAAAACCCAAGCTTTGATCTTGCTAAGCAAGCATCCTACCACTGAGTTACATCCCAGATGAATGCCCAGGTTAAATACAATTTTCACTGATGAAATGTACAATATACAATCGATTTATCTACCATCAAGTTGCCATCCATAAGCCCAAAGGAATACAGTATGCCCCTCCTCCCTGCATCCAAGGTGGGGCTTCCGGGGATCGGGATTTCTTTGGTAAGGGTCCCTCTCAGTGGTCGGTGCTCCTGTCTGTCCTCTTAGAGTCGATAGTCACTGCCACCGTGGAAGTGACTGTCAGAGTGACCAGCCAAAACTTCAGCGAAAAGCTAAATGACCAGGAATCCAAGGAATTCAAGGACTTCAATAAGACATTCTCAGAACAGGTAACCCCGGGAGACCACGCAGCCCCATCCCACCCCACCAACACCACCCGGAGGAATCTGGAGGGAGGGGTTAAGATGGCAACTGAGTTGTTAAATGTGTGTGCTTCTCAGCTAGCCAGGGCAGGTAGGGGATGGGAAGCAAGACTTACCTGGGAGCAGCAAGAGGGTACAGAACAGGTCTGGTCTCTGGCGAGGGAACTCTCTATTTGATCTCCGGGTTGCTATCGGTTGGGATGAGGACTGGGGAGTACTGGTATCCCACAGAACGTCCCCAAGGTGGGACTTCCGGGATGACACATTGGCCCCTTGCCTTTCAGATGGCAATTATTTATGAAAAAATTCCTGAGTATGGCGGGGTTGTCATCAAAGAGCTGAGGTGAGTACCCGGGTCTGGCAGGAAGAAGGTCTTTTGCGTGGGAACAACAGCCATGATTACAGGGGCCAATTGGGGGGTTACCTGTGTTAGCCCACAGTGGGTGCTGCGCGGGAATGCCAGTGATTGTGGCTTGAACAACAGACATCTCTACTACGCTCACTGCTCTGGTGGCGGGAAGTCTGAGACCAAGGGTGGGGTCTTTCCCCTGGGTCCTTGGGTGACTTCTTCTGGGTGCAAGTCTCAGCTATCTCTCTGCCTATTCAAATTTTGTGTGTGTTCGTCATACATACATATTTGTGTGTGTGTGTGTGTGTGTGTGTGTGTGTGTGCATGTTCAGAGACACACATGTGCCTCCATCTCTCTCTGTGTGTATATAGGTACACGTGTGTGAGTAGACGTGGAAGCCAGAGGTCCACATCGGGTGTCTTCCTCAATCTCTCTCTCCACCCTATTTTTAGTAACCAGGTCTCTCATTTAGCCAGGGGCTCATCAATTTAGCTAGGCTCATAGGAGATCAAGCGATCCACCAGCCTCTGCTCTCCCTGGTGCCGGGGTTACAGATGTATGTCATGACATCCAACTTTTACCTGAGCGCCTGAATTCTGTGTTTATACATCAGAGACTTCATTAACTAACTGAGCTATCTCTCCAGTGCTCCCTGATACATGTATGTGTATGTACGTGTGTCTGTCTGTCTGTTTTTCTCTTTGTGTCTGTCTCTCTCATCTCCCTCTCTCCCTCTGTCTCTGTCTTTCCTGATAAAATCTTTCTCTGTATTTAAGGGTAGCTTGAGCTCACTACATAGCCCAGGTTAGCCCTGAGCTCTCACCCTCTTGCCTGGAATTCCTCCCAGGAGTACAGAGGAGGCAAGGGATGCCAAAGATGAGTAGCAGAGGTGACCATAGGAGGATGCTCAAGGGTACCACCCCTATCTCCCCAGGAGTGGCAGTATCATTGTGGATTATGATGTCATCCTGAAGACCCAGTACACCCCAGACTACGAAGACGTGTTACAGGAAATCAAAAGTAATGTGCAGGAAAAAATCATAAATGCAACCGAGGTTCAAGTAAGCGCTAATAATAACTGTACAGGTAAGGCCCTCCTGGAGGGAAGGGCTCTCAGAGGGTGGCCCCTTAAACCCCTTGACTTTTGACCCTTGAACAAGTGAGGTTTAGGGAAGAAAGGCAAGTGGAGGTTGTGGGTCACTGGGATCTGTGTCCAACTTGTCACTCCGGTCACACTGGGAGAAAGCCTTGGGTGGGAGGGCGCGGAACAGTGCAGAAATGGAGAATCCCTGCAGAGCGTCAACAGCAAGGGGATTTGGGGCAGATGGGGCAACACATGACTGGCTGCACAGCGTGTCTTCTAAACCCAGTGAGCCGTGTGGGGACCCTGGCAGAGGGGCTGTGGACCCTTTGAGACCCTCTGAGCCACAGGACCCTGTGAGTGTGGCCCATCAGAGAGCTGGAAGCCTGGCAACGCCCCCCACTGCAGTTTCCCGCTTCCATGCCCGCTAGTTAAAGGGCTGTTGTCTGAAACAAGGCCAAAGAGGAAGGATTTTTTTGGTTTCCTGACTTGTGGGGATACAGCCTCCCCTGGGTGGGCAGGCAAGGCTGCAGGCAGCCCTGTGGTAGCAGACACCTGCGGTCTGCTGTTCCCTATGAAGTCCTGGCCTGGCCTATGTGGTGACATATGTCTTTAAACACAGCCCTTGGGGCCTCAGGCAGGCAGATCTCTGTGAGTTGGAGGCCAACCTAGTCACATACTGAATTCCAAGACAGCCAGGGCTATCCACACAGTGAGACCCTGTCTAAAAAAAAAAAAAAGAAAGAAAAAAAAAAAAAACCAAAACCAAACAAGCAAAAAAATGTTCAACGCAGGAGGCTCGGGTAAAAGTGAAAGTGGTGTAGTCTACAGCCTTCTAGCCTGGCTCCTACTTTGACCCAGAGAAGCCCCGTACCTGAAAGTTTCCACAACCTCCCCAGATAGTGTCCAAACGCAGGAGCCTAAGGAGAACACTTCACACTGCACACTGTCTCGCTCCTTCCCCTCTCCCACACAGAAGCCTCTGTAATAACGGGTGGGCGGTATGTGTTTCCTCCACAGGGTATTTACTGTGTTTCGACGCAAGAGACACTGAAGTGCAAGACATTTCAGGCATCATCACTCCTGAAGGTAAGTAATGTGAGCGGTTTTGGAAAAGGCTCAGGAAGGTAGAGGAGCCAGGCAAGGAGGAGGGGAGCAGGGAGGAGACGGGCAGGGAGGAGCCAGGCCTCCTGATTCTTAGCTGTTCTTCCACGTCCCCCTCAGAGGAATGCCGGCGGCAGGCTGGGGAAGAATATAAGCAGTATGTCCTCGCAGAACAAAAGGGCGAAAAGTGGCTCTGTTACACGGCCTGCTCAGCAGGGTACAACGCCTCCTTGGACTGCCACTATGGCAAGTGCCAGCTGCAGCGGAGTGGCCCCCGGTGTCTGTGAGTACCGCACTTTGCCCGTGGGGTGGCTCCTCTCCTGGAGGCCAAGGTCATGAGATTGTTATATATAACACGCTGCACCTCTTGAGAGTATACGACTGTGAAAGAATCAGGTTGCAGGGTTAAGGGCACATGCGTGGCCAAGTCCAGAGTCGATGAAAGTGGGTCAGGAGAAGCTTCAAGACAGAATGAGCGGTGGACGCTCCAGCTTCAGGAGGCTCCCAGTCTAGCAGAGAACACAGGGCTTCCTTTCCAGAGAAAGAACGTGCGCCCCACATCCCGAGAGGTGTCTCAGTGGGTTAAAGGGCTTGCCGCTAAGCCTGATGAGTTGAGTTCAATCCCTGGGATCCATGTAGTAGAAGGAAAGAACCAACATTTGCAAGTTGCTCTCTGACTTCTACAGTACACACACACACACACACACACACGCACGCACACACACACACACACACATACACACACAGAGAAAGAGAGAGTAAATAAATGTACTTTTATAATTTTTAAAAATGTCTCCTGCTATAGAAATAGATAAAGAACATTTTATGTGTCTCCATGAGGACAGAGAACTGGCATAGCCTACTCATAGCATAGGAAAACCAAGAAGGGCATTGCAAACTGCACCCTGAGTGTGGTGGCGCATGTCTGCAATACCAGCACTTGGGAGGCAGAGGCTCCAGGAAGAGCATGAGTTCAAAGTCAGCCTGGCTACCCTGAGAGGCTCTGTCTCAAAGCGGGGACTAGGACCTGAGTTCAGATCCCCAGCACCCATGTAAAAGCCAGGCATAGGCTAGATAAATGTCTCGAAAGTCATGGGCCAAACGTTCGAACACTGTGGGGGCCACTTTTCACTCAATCACTACAACCACGTAAAGACCTGACCTCCGAAAACCAGGTAGGCGGGGCCCGAGGCTGGCCTCTGCCCCCACAGGCGCCAAGGTTCATCTCCTCAGAGCGCTCTTCAAACTTGCACCTCTCATTGGGTACCCACGAGGCCAGAGCATGACTGACTCTCTTTCCTCTCTGTCCTTCTCCCACGTCAGCTGCCTGACCACCGACACACACTGGTACAGCGGAGAGACTTGCGACTGGGGCATCCAGAAAAGCCTGGTCTACGGGCTCGTGGGAGCCGGGGTGGCGGTGCTGCTGGTGGTCCTCATTATCCTGGCCGTGTTCTCCTTCCACTACAGAGGAAAGGCACAAAGGTAAGTGGCTGGCGCCCCCTTCCTTCGCCATCCTAATCCTCCTCTCCATGTTCTCTTTCTGGATGTAGCTCATCCCGGGCCGTTGTCTCTACTCTGTAGCCATAACTGGGTCCTCTGGTGTTTTCCACCAACAGGGAACATTCCAGAGTGACTCAGATGCAAAAGTGGAACGAAGAGGAAGGCAGAACTCCTGGCGCCTTTCACAACATCGGTTTTGACCACAACGAAGGTACTGGCAATCTCTGCGGAGCTCAGACTCAGATAGGGTGGGAGACATAGGAGCCCCGAGAAAGGTACCCGGATCATTTGCCATCCCTGAACACTCGGTGCCATCTTCAAAAGCTTGCCTAGAACCTGGGTGAGATCCAACATGGGTATTGTAGCAACACCCTAGGGGAAGCACGGAGCCAGTTGATGGTGTACGTTTCTCTAGAACATAAAACTATGCCTCTGGGGATATAGAGGAGAGACCAGGGGCAAGTATACCCATCTCAGCAAAGAGGTTAGCAGTGTAGTTTGTTAAGCGCAAGTGTTATAACTTCCAGAAATGGAACTGGGGATGTGAGTCAGTGGGTGAAGGGCTTGCTTAAGATGTAGGAAGTCCTGGTTTTGATCTCCGGTACCACATAAATCACATGTGGTCGTGCGCCTGTGTTATCCCAGCACAGAAGAGGGTCATCCTTCACTACATTGTGAAGTTGAGGCCAGCCTGAGACATGTGAGACCCTGTCTCAAAAAGCAAACAATGACCAGCCTGGTAGTGGAGACTACCTTTAATTCTGGCACTCGGGAGGCCGTAGGAAGTGGATCTGTGAATTCAAACCCAGTCTTGCCTACATCATTCTTGAAACACCGTCTCTCCCTATATTCCATAGTACCCTCAAACTTATCATCCTCCTGCCTCTGCCTCTCGAGTGTTGTTATTACGGGCATGCATGCCCCCACCTGACCGTAGCTTTAAAGTGATTAACCCAGGGAGCTATTGGGGAGCAACTGATTCAAGCAGTCTACCACATTCCCGTTGGCTTTTGTTTCCTGGGTATGGAACGAACACCCTCCCCATCATTGGGGCTCAAGGAACTGATGATTGCTTGTCTTTCTAACCCCGTCTCCTTGGGCTTCCTCTTCCCTTAGAACGAGAAGACTACATCAACTTGGGTTCTGTGTACAGCAACTTTGATGCCTTACGCAATATAAACCCTGAAGAAAAGGTAAGAATGATCCGGATGAACCACTCACCTCTGGTGCCCTAAGCCCTCCACCGTCCCTTCTACCTGGTAGGATCCCCACCCCTAACCCTGATAGAACCCTCACCCCTAACCCTGGTAGGACCCCAACCCCTAACCCTGGTAGGACCCCAAACCTTAATCCTGATTTTGGGCCTGAATAGTTGCAGGGTTGTGGAACTAAGTCTTAAGTGTTTCCAAAACTAGATTTCTCCTGTGCTCGGCCTTCGTCCACTTCTGTTCCTCTTTTCAGATCCAGATCCAGAGGCCCCAGGTAGTCATGACATCACTGTAAACATGCACAGAAGCGGTTTTGCATGGATCCATGGAGCTGAGGACTGAGGAGAGCCCCACTGAGTCAAGCATGTTGGAACACGCCCTCCACTGAGAATTCCCCACGGGGACTTGTTGGGAAATAGACCCTGTAGTTAGAAAGAATGAACACCAGGGAGACCACAGTGCTGGAAGCTCCAGCAGTGTGGAAACTACAGCGGAACTACAGCCGGCATGTCATGACAGCAGGCGGAGCCTCCCAGAACGCCCAAGTCCAATTCAGCACCAAGGACAGTGCCCTGCGTGCCCTTTGCTGCGATGATTGCTTAGACACTGGGCTGGATTTTACCATTTTCAAACACTCTTCTGAGAAAGATAGCATTCCATTTCCACGGACAGTACTGTTTTAAATATAGACCATCTGTCTTTACAAGGTCATGCTTAGCTTTAAGTTTCTTTCTGAGATCGGGGATAATTAAGGCTTCTTTCTATTTTGGTGAATTCTAATTTTTCCTATGTAAATAAAATTATATAATTTTTTAAGATTTATTTTGTTTTTAATTATGCGTGTGTATCTGTATGTGCGTGAACATGTGTGCAATTGCCAGTGATGGCCAGAAGAGGGCACCAGATCCTCTGGGCTGGAGGAACAGGCTATTGTGAGCCTGTATTTGGTACTGAGAAGTGAACTCTTAACCATCGCTCTAACCCCCATATACGCTTATAACAACTAAAAACAACCAAAGCAAATTGGTTGCAAGTTTTACAGATTCTAGAACTTTCTCTACTTGCCACATTATACCAGCTCCTGGGCCACATCTCCTGGGCTCTCTGTCCTCCTCTTCCCTACAGAATGTAATTCAGCCCTCAGTTGCAAGAGAGGGAATATCTTCACCCAAGAAAGATACCACCCTGAGCTGCCCCCAGCTTCAATTGCTGATCTCTGGAGAATGCCATGACCCAGGACCATATTTCTTCACACACACAAGGCAGAAAGAGAATCAAGCTCTTTAGGGGCTGGAGAGATTTCTCAGTGGGTAAAAACACATTGGGAGTAAACATAAAGACCCGAGTTCAAATCCCCAGAAGCCAAGTTAAGAGGCAGAAAACTGGCGAGATAGTTCAATGGGTAGAGGTACTTTCTGTCACACCAGACCTGATAGAAAGAGAGAATCAACTCCCACAAACTGTCCTCTGATCTCCACATATGTACCGTGACACATGTGTGCACACACATGCATACATATACATACACAAAAGAAGTAATTAAAGGGCTAGGCAGTGGTGGCACACACCTTTAATCCCAGACTCAGGAGGCAGAAGCAGGCAGATCTCTGTGAGTTCAAGGCCAGCCTGGACTACAGAGTGAGTTCCTGTACAGTCAGGGCTACACAGAGAAACTCTGTCTTGAAAAAACAAACAAACAAAAAAAGTGATTAAAATGTACTAAATGTTTTTAAAAGCTGTGGTTGCCAGGTGTGATGGCTCACACCTTCAGTCCTCGCTCTCGAGAAAAAGAGGCATGTGGATCTCTGTGAGTTCAAGGCCAGGCTGGTGATCCACAGAGTAAGTTCCAGGCCAGTCAGAGTCACATGATGTGACCCTGTCTCAAAAACATAAAACAAAAATAAAAAACCAAAAAGCTGTGCATGGTTACCCACACGGGTCTGTAACCCCAGCTGCCAGCCTCGCTGCAGGTCCAGGAACCCAGCTGGAGGAAACCAGAGTGACAGAGCAGGACACCAGACTTTCCCTCTGGTCTCCACGTGTGACACACATGAGACACAGACACATACACACATGTACACATGCACACAGGCACACACATGCAAACACAGAGACATACATGCACAGGCACACAGGCACACATGCACACACAGAGAGACATACATGCATAGGCACACACGCACACACAGAGAGACATACATGCACAGGCACCCAGGCACACAAGCACAAGCACAGAGACACACGTGCACAGGCACACAGGTACACACAGGCACACATGCACACACATAGAGACACATGTGCACACACACTGTATATACACACAATAATAGTAAATCTAAGGAAATAACCAAGTCCCCACTTTCCTCTAGAACAAAGTTCATGCTCTTTGCAGAGTCCCTAAGAGATGGGTGTCCTGGGCTCTATTTCCAGCCCCAGCTCTCTCACCAGCTCTGGGGGAAATCATGTGACCATTCGGACCCAGCCCAGATTGTTCTTCGGGTCCACTTCATTCCTACAAGTCTGAACATTTTGGAGATGTCTTATTTTACATCTGTTTGTGTGTGCTCAAAGGGGCACACACAACTGCATGCTACTGCACACGTGGGGAGGTCAGAGGGCAACTTGTGGGAGTTGGTTCTCGCCTTCCTCCGTGAGGGTCTGGGGCATTGGACTCAGGGCATGGGGCTCATCAGCAAGTGCCTTTATCTGAAGAGACATCCTCGCTGACCTGGCCTGTCGGGTGTCAGTTTTTAGTGTGTGCATGAGAGTCTAGTCACACATGTGCCACAGAGAATGTGAGGACAACCTCTGGCGTCCTCCGGCTTCCTTTCCACAGGTTTGAGACAAGGTATCTTCTTGTTCCCTGCTGCCCGTGCCCGGCGATCTGAGCCACCAGCTTCCAGTCATTCTCCCACCTCGGCTCCTATCTCTCCACAGGCACACTGGGATTATGGGTGCGTGCTACATTATTCTGTGTAATTTCGCTCAGGTCTTCACACTTGCACAGCAGGCACTTTGCCCTCAGATCCCTCCCTCCAAACCTTGGGAGTGGTTTTGTTTTACTTTATTTATTTATTTATTTATTTATTTATAATTTTATGTGCATTGGTATTTTGCTGGCATGTATGTTTGTGTGAGGGTGTCGGGTCCCCTGGAACTGAAGTTACAGACAGTTGTGGGCTGTCATGTGAATGCTGGGCTATTGAACCCGGGTTCTCTGGAAGAGCTGCCAGTGCTCTTAACTGCGGAGCCATCTCTCCAGCACCCTTATTTATTTGTTTGTTTGTTTTTGAGACAGAGTCTCACTATGTAGCCCTGGTGGGCCTGGAATTTGCTATGTAGGTCAGGCTGGCCTCTAATTTACAGAAATCCACCTGCCTCCTGAGTGCTGGAATTAAAGGCGTGGCCCGGCAAGAAAGGGCCCTTCATTTCTTATGCTTCTGGTCCATTCAGCCCTATGGAGGCCTTCCACTTCAAGCCACCCTACATCTGCCTAAAGCTAAAACAGAGCCTGGACTCTGCCGCCCCCTGGTGGGAATTCTGAGCATCTGCAGGCGTTGGTCAGTTTCTCGGCCATTCCCCTAGAAAAGCTGCAGCCTACATGGTTCATTTTTTCATTTACCCTCAAAATCCTTTGCTCGCTATATCTAGATGCCTTCACTTTAAGAATTGCCTCTCAGGGAGATGGCGAGATGGTCCCACTGGTGAAGGCAGGTGCTGCATAGCCTGCCGACTGACTTGAGTTTGATCCCTGGGATCCACAGGGTAGGGGAGAACCAACTCCTGCAAGTTGTCTCTGACCTTGCTTGCCAGGGCAGGTGAGTTCAAGAGTATCCCCATGCACACATGCACATAAGTAAAACAAATGATTTGTTTGTTTGTTGAGACTGGGTTTCTCTGTGTAGTCTTTGCTGTCCTGGAACTCACTCTGTAGACCAGGCTGGCCTCAAATTCATGGTGATCTGCCTACCCTTGCTTCCCAAGTGCTGGGATTCAAGGGGTTTGCCACGACTACCTGGCCCAAAACAAGCAATTTTGTAATGGGGGGGGGGGAGGGATTTCCTCTCATTAGCCTGCACATCCCTGAAACGGGAGGGGGACCAGGCTGCTCTCCCACTTGAGATGCAGTTGAGGATAACCTTGAACTTCTGATCCTCCTGCCTCTGCCTCCTGAGTGCTGAGATTACAGGCATGGACCACCACCCCAAAAGGAGGGCTTTCCCAGGACCGTCGACTCGGCCTCCCATTATCCACACCAGCACCTGTTCCTGCCTGCTTCCATCTGCTCAGCAGGGCAGACACCATCCCAACAGCAGTCAGGCAGCACCGGCCGGCTCCCACCCTCTCAGCCACCTGGGTAAAGGTGTGATGGTCACGTCTTCCTCCCATCCCTGTTGTCTCCCTTGTCGAAGCGGAGTGGCCAGGACCAGCAAGATGGCTCAGTGGGTAAAGGCACTTGCTGCCAAACTGGCCTGTCGGGTGTCAGTTTTTAGTGTGTGCATGAGAGTCTAGTCACACGTGTGCCACAGAGAATGTGAGGACAACCTCTGGCGTCTTCCGGCCGACGACCTGAGTTTGATTCCTGAGACCCGCGTGGTAGGAGACAACTACTGACTCCTATAAGCTGTTGTTCGACCTCTACACACGTGCCAAGACATGCATTCAAAAATTAATTAATTAGATGTGAAATATGGAGTGACCATTATCTCATAAATGAGGGCATCGGAAGCAAAGACCGGTAATTTGCCCAGAGTACTAAAGGGCTAATCTAAGGAGACTTGACAGGCGGAGGCAAGAGGGTCATAAGTTCAAGACCAGTCTGGGCATCATAGCAGGGTCCTGTCTCTGAGAATTAAACAATGACAGCAAACAGAAAGGCTCCACTAAAATAGGGTGAACCTCTAATTTAAAAGGTATTCCTACCAAAGAGGGGCGTTTGGAAGCATAGACATGCATGGCGAGGGGATGCCTGCTAAGAATGGGGAGACACGATGAGGGGAAGGTGGGAAGTCTACAAGAGATGAACAGCAAGATGAAGCTTATGTAGGTGTTTGCTTGTTTGCATCCCCTGTACTGGGGATTGAAACCTAGGATATCATGAATGCTGAGCACTTTAATCACTGAGACAAACCCTCAGGCTGTCATTGGGAGATTCCAAGCAAGCACTTTACCACTGACCCACCCCCAGTCCCTCACTGGGGGATTCTAGGCAGGGGCTCTACCACTGAGCCACACCCCAGCCCCTCACTGGGGGATTCTAGGCAGGGTCTCTACCACTGAGCCACACCCCAGCCCCTCACTAGGGGGTTCTAGGCAAGTGCTCTACCACTGAGCCACACCCCTAGCCCTCTCTTTGCTTTTTGAGACAAGGTCTCACTAAACAGCCAGGCTGGCCTTGTACTTCCTTCCACCCTCTTGACCCTAGCCTCTCAGGTACCATGAGCCCAGCAGGCCTGCAGCATCAAACCTTCTTGAGTCTTTCATCCTACTAGCTCCTGCCTTGTAAGTGGACACACAGGGAGGAGCCATCAGGCACGCTCCAGCTCTGCCCACAGCCTTCCCCCAGCTCCGGCTTCCTTAGCAAGTGCACCAGAGCCCAGGTATGCCCAGCCCGTGGCCTGGAAACTGCTCTGCACTCCCTCCCTCACTCCCTGTCCGTTAGGAGTTTACTCATCCACACAATCTCATTGTTCTTTGCGTCTTGGGGTGGGGCAGAGGGAGACCAGTTCTTTCTATGTACTCCAACTTGCACAGAGCTCACTGTGTAGCCCAGGCAGGTCTGGGACTTTGAGTAATGCCCCTGCTTCATCCTCCTAAG